TTTTATAGTTGTATGACAGCATTTCTACAAAAACCCCTAATCCTTTTTTTAAAAAAAGCACTAGTGACACTGAAACTAATAAAAACATCATTATTATTTAAAGTAGTTATGAAACATTCAACTTGATGGTATCGTTCTAGCAGTTCTCAGGAAAGGTCAAGGTTTGAATGTAAACTGGAACCTCAATAGATTTTTTCTTTGAGTCGAACCTGAAGGAAACAGCACATAAAAGTTTTCTGGGCAAATTTCCAGCATCGTAGCACATGAGGATTGCCATGTCTAGTAAAGAGTTTCAGGAAGAAAGAATGCAAGAGACTTGTGGAATTTTTTTCTGTTGAGGTTCTAAACATTCATAAAAAGCTTGCCTCTGTATTTCCCTTAATTAAGAGCATGGGACTTCACAGTTTGCTCTGGCTTCTTAACTCTTCTTTTCAAATGAAACAAAATTCTGTGTGTAGAGAATATGTATGTATGTGTGTGTGTATCTGCGTATATATACACATATGTATTTATATACTATATATACAACACATGTACATATATATATCGAATCCATTTCTATATGCAAAATCAAATAAGCAATGCATTCACATTTCTAAAGGTACAGCATGACGTATGGTGGGGGGATCTCGCTCCGACGCCCATCCTCTCTGCAAGAAACCCTCTTTCCAGAAGCAACCACTTCTACCAGTTTCTTTTGCAGCTTCCAGAGATAATCAATTTATATTTATATATCTATTTACAACTATGTAAATATTCATTTAAAAACACAAATACTATATACACTGTCCTATGCCAGGCTTTTAAAAAAAATTTATAATGTGTCTGGGAGATTGTACCACATCAGCACATATAAAGCTGCTTCATTCATTTTAATGACTGCATAGTATCAACGCTGCATTATGGAGTATAGTCTTTAATATTACATTCCACCATATGAAATATTAATATTATGCTAATATTTCTTTATTGATTTTAGTTTTATTTACATTTATTAATAACGTATTAATATATAACCAGACCTCCACTGATATTTAACTTGCTATCTTTTGCTCTTTCAAACCATGTTAAAAAATATGTCATTTGCACACTAATGAGTTTATCTGTAGATGAGAAAGATTTCTAGGTTGAATGAAGTATGAACATTTGTAATTTTGATTGATATTGCTAACATGTTCTTCATTTACATCACTGTGTCCTCAGCATTATAATGTGTTCATCAGACTTTTTTTTTTTAAAGATTTTATTTATTTATTTGAGAGAGAGAATGAGAGAGAGAGAGAGCACATGAGAGGAGGGAGGGTCAGAGGGAGAAGCAGACTCCCTGCCGAGCAGGGAGCCCGATGTGGGACTCGATCCCGGGACTCCAGGATCATGACCTGAGCCGAAGGCAGACGCTTAACCAACTGAGCCACCCAGGCGCCTGTTCATCAAACTTTTTGATACTTACTAGTCTAATGGATGAAAAATATTATCCCATGTAGCTGTGATTTGCATTGCTCTAATGTGAGTGAGGTTGATCATTTTTTCAGATGCTTAAGAGCCATTTGTATTTCCTTTTCTGTGAGCCATCTGTTCTTTTTTCTTCCTTCCTTCCCTTCCTCCCCTTCCTCCATTTCCTCCCTCCTTCCTTTCTCTCCCACCTTCCTTCCTTCCTTCTGTCCTTTTTTTTTTTTTTTCTGGGTTTCAGACTTATTATCATTGACTGTAGAAGCTCTTTATATGTATACAAAATTAGCCTATTGGGTTTATGAATTGTAGGACTTCTCACCTGCCTCCCATTCCTTGATTGTCATGTATGTTTTTGGTGGAGCTTTTGTTTGATTTAGAATGCCATAAATTTTGTTTTAATGTGTTGAATTTATCAGTCTTGCTTTATGCCATTCATAGGAAGACTTTCTCCATTCTAAGATCATAAACACAAACTTCCATGTGTTGTCCCAGTGCTGTTATGGCTTTACTTTTTAAAGTTAATCATTTAGGGGCACCTGGGTGGCTCAGGCAGTTAAACATCTGCCTTCAGCTCAGGTCATGATCCCAGGATCCTGGGGTCCTTCCTGGGATCGAGCCCCCTGATGGAGCCCTAGGTCAAGCTCCCTGCTCAGCAGGAAGTCTGCTTCTCCATCTCCCTCTCCTCTTTCCCCTCTCCGCTCCTGTGTGCTCTCTCTCAAATAAATAAATAAAATCTTTAAAAAATAAAGTTAATAATTTAATTCATCTAGAATATATTGAGGTAAAAGGGGTGAAGTAGGTCATCCTGTGTTTCAGATGGCTATCCAGTTTTCTCAAACTGTTTACTGACCTCACATCTTTTCTCCGTTGACTTGAAATGCCACCTTTACTGCACACTTGATTTCCGTATGTGTCTTTGACCTGTTTGTAATTTGTTCCTCTGACCTTCTCACCTGCCCATCATACTGCCTTATGTGTCTGTTAATGTCTCAGAGAGCTGGTGCCCCTGAGAGCACCTATTGTTTTGAGAGCTACCTTGCTATTTTTGCGTTACTCTACCATATGAACTTTAAAGTCAACTTGTGTAGTAACTTCAGCAAACTAAAAAATATCTATCTTAGAACTATGTTTTTTGAATTGGGAGTTCATTCCATTATACACGTACAGCTTAGAGAGAATTGACACTTTTTTGATGTTCTTATTTATAATCATAGAATATTTTTTAATCATAATTTTTCCTTTTTATTGCTTGGTAGCATTTCAAAGTTTTCTTCATATAAACTTTTGCCTATTTAAGATTTTCTAGATGTTTTACTTTTGTTATTATAGTAAATTAGGTTTCTTACGTTGTATTATTTTCCTAGTGAGTGTGTGTGTGTGAAGACTATTATCAACATATTCATTTTCTACCCTGTACCTTTTTGAAGTAGTTTTTCTGTTGATAGTTTTGGATTTTCTGGGAAAACAATCATATTATTTGTGAACAATGATGATTCTTTTTTCCCAATTTTGGTTCTTCTTTTCTTTCCTTATCCATGTCATTGGCTAATATCTCCTGAACAATAATAAGTAATAATAGTGGTCGTGACGTCTTGTCTTGACTTTATTGGTAATATTTCTACTCATTTGAAATTTAGTAATAAATAAAAAATTCTCACTCATATGCATGTGTGTGTGTGTAATTATGTAAGGAAATAGCCAACTATTCTTCTTTTATTGAGAAATTACATTAAGAATGAATATAAATATTCTGAAATAATATTCTGATTTATCATGATGATGTACCACTTGGTAAGTTGCTAGATATCACTTAATTGTACACTTGAAATAGGTCAATTTTATGACATATTAGATATACTTCAATAAAGTAGTTTTTGAGAAAAATAGATACAGTATTTTATCCATACCTTTTAAGTATCTAAAGAGGTGATCATATGCTATTTTGCTTTTACTCTAGTTATATGGTGACTTGTGTAAATAATACAAAAATCCTTATATTCCTAGAATAAGTCCCACTTACTCATAGTATGTTAATCTTTTTTATATACTGCTCAGTTCTGTTTGCTAATTTTTAAATTTAGGATTTACATAAGTGTTTATGGAGAAGGGAGATTTGTAAATAGTTTCTCTTTTGTGTATTTTCTTTGTTAGGTGTTGGTATCAATATTATACCTTACTCTTTAAATAAGTATTTAGAAACTTTCCTTCTTTTACCTTGTGTGGAATAGTTTAAATGTTATCGAATTGTACCTTTAAACCTGCTTAGAATTCACCTCTGAAGCCATCTAGGCCTGGCTTTGTTTATTTATGTATTTATTTCTCAGAAGGGTGGTCAGTCAGGAGAATAGCCCTTTGACTTCTATTTCATTATAGTATTGACCTATTTATTTTTTATTTTTATCTATTTATTTATTTTAAAGATTTTATTTATTTATTTGACAGAGAGAGACACAGCAAGAGAGGGAACACAAGCAGGGTGAATGGGGGAGGGAGAAGCAGGCTTCCCGCGGAGCAGGGAGCCTGATGTGGGGCTGGATGCGCTGGGATCATGACCTGAGCCGAAGGCAGACACTTAACAACTCAGCTACCCAGGCACCCCTATAGTATTGACCTATTTAAATTTCCCTGTTTTTTTTTTTTTTTAATGGAGTGTGATTCCTTAAGTATATATGACATGATACTTAATAAACATCTTCAGGTCATACTGATTGAGTCCCTTCTGATGCAGGGTGAGATGATCAGTAATGTTGAGTTATTGTTTTTGAGAGTGGTAGCTCTTTTCTCATATTTGGTATTTTATGGTATTTAACAGTTATTTCTACCACTCTCCCAGGTTCAGACAGTAAGGACTGTTCCATTTTTTATTGTTGAGATGGTGATATTGTAAACCATGATGTGTGTTTACACTGCTGTGTAGACCACCATTATTATGGTCTTTGGTACACTTGAGGAAGAGAGCCCAGTTTTATTGCTGGCCATGTGGCAGACACACTGCCTGTCCTTAAGAGAGACACAGTTGATTTATCTTGGTCTTGTACGTTGTAGGTTCTCAGTAATTCCAGTGAATGAAATATTTGTTTAGTATCTACTATGTGTGTGTTTGCCGAGGATATAATGTTCCAAGAGACAACATATGTTATGAATGCAAAATTGAATTAAATAAATACTATGGTAAAGATATATATTCAGGCATATTGAAGGATACAGTTTTCATGCTTGCCTAGGGGAGAATGACTTTGAAATAATTTCTAGATAGAATGGAAAGTAAATATTGATTCAGTTACTCTTATATCTGGCCTGTATTTACAAATTAATATAGAGCTAAAACTGTTTTAAGCAGTATTTTTGCTTTTCCGTATGAATTGGATAATATGCCAGGAAAAGGAAATCAACCCTGGAGCAACAGAGCTACAAAAAATGAAAATACTGATCTAAATTTAAATTATGCTTATTTTAAAACATTTAAGAAAAAAAAGTGTTGATAGTTGACAATTGTACTGGATTATGTTGAAGATATATTGACAAAATATTCTTTCCTTTTCTCACAGATTTATCTAAAAACAGACTGGTCGAAGTCCCAATGGAATTGTGCCATTTTGTATCACTGGAAATTCTTAATCTGTATCATAATTGCATCAGAGTCATTCCTGAGGCCATCATTAATCTGCAGATGCTGACTTACTTAAACTTGAGGTAGGTTGACTTACAAGGATTGTAATCAAATTCAGTGAAAAAAACCCCAAATAATTGTGCTTTCATTTCTATCAGGTATTTTTTTCTCTTTGCAAATCCTGATCACCCTTTGAAGTAAATCACACAAAGATTATTTAAGAACAACCTTTCATAATAAATTTGTTGTGCCATTAATATTGTTTTTGGTGCTAGACTTCTCTGAATATCAACATGACAAGGTATTTTTGTTTAGTTTTTTTTACAGTAATTTATATGGCATCATTTATACTTTATGTCTCTTTGGTGCCTGGTATATTGTCTTTATGTATTGCTGTAGTTTTTGGAGGAGGAGGGCTAAAGGCAGTGAAAAAAGAACTTGGGGGTTGTGACACATTGGGGCCTTGCTGGTCTTTGGGAGTTTTTGTACCACTGGATTTGCTACTTGGTACTGTCTGAGCCTGTTCGCTTTAGGCCACCTGAGAAAATTCAAGAGCACTGAGCAACTCCAGAAAGATATGAAGTTTGCTGTCTTTGTAACCCCATTCAATTAGATCAGCATTTGCTGAGGACAGGTCAGTGGTCTGTATTGATTCCCTAATTATGCACAGCACGGTGTAACAGATTAATGCCCCTGAGTAGCCCTGAAGTTAAGAAAATCAGCTTTCATATGGCCTAGGTTTTAGACTTTGTGCTGTGACTGTCAGCTGCTCTGGCCAGATTTGGGTTCCTTGCCTCCTAAATCTTTGACTCACACAGGATGTCAGGAGAGAGATAGGAACTGTTAAATCAAATCTATCTCTACTATGAAAACAAGTTTCCAAAGGTCAAGCCAGAGCAAAGCCTCTACTCATGTCAATGGCATTATCTTGGTGTGTTAAGAGCAGCATCGTATTAGCAAGGCTTGTGCAGTGTAACAAACATGGCAAACTTTAAAGTGCAAAATTCCCAATGAACCAGATAGAGCATTAACTTATTATAATAATGTCAATTATTTTTTTGTTGGTTTGTTGTTTGGTTCATTTGTTTTTAGTTGACCACTGAGAGTTGGGGTCTTCTCTTGCTTTCTTTGCGGTCAAAAATGGGTTTCCACTGCAATTCATTCGTTGTGCATATCCTTCTTGGGAGTGAAAAAAAATATCCTAGTCATGTTTTTAAGTGACTTGGTGAATAAGATGTAAGTTACTATTAGCATAACCTAGAGGCTTATATAGCTAACTTTCACTTCTCCAGGTTTCTAGTTCATCTGACTATTTTGAGTTTCCTTGAATAAGACAGTCTAAACTATTTCTGCAACAGCACAATGTTCATTACCTTAGAATTGCCCGATGGAGCCAACCTAGTGGCGTCTATAAGGTTTGGTTCACTATTTCCCTGAAACATCTGCCTTCTAATTCAAACCTGCATAGAGGAAATATCCCAAGAGCATATGCAGTTGGTGTGTTTACTTACCTAGGTCTGTCCTTCTGTGACATTTTTCACCTCCAGTAGTCCTACATGCAGCACATAAGGAGATTTAACTTCGCACTGTTACACTAAGTCTATACGCAATGAGAAACTTTTGGGTATAGATGACATATCTCTTCTGGGATGATATGAACTATAAAATTATACAAACATGAGATAATCTAATCTTAAAATTTATATTATGTTTTAAAAGCACTAATACAATTGGTTTTGGTGTGATGATTTTCATGTTGGGCTTAGTCAAGAGTAGAATAATAATTGCTATTTCAGACGGTAGAAAGGATATATTGAAGTGTGGGTCGCAGGATCCTTTAAGGCAAGAATGGAGAGAGTCATTGAGACTGATGATGCTGAAGAGGAACTGAGTGGGTATATTGTAAACAGTTTTGTGGCGAATTCCTAGGTGATAGGAAGAAGAAAAAGATAAAGAGACTGTTGAACACCCAACTCTTTAAGCGTTATTTTCTGTTTAATTCCTTGTTTGCCTGTATCTTTTCTTCCCTTTATATAGGTCACTTTTATTTTGTGTTTTCTTTGCTCACATCTCTACTTTAATATTACTGTGCTTTAAGACATATTCTACAGTGTTGAATCCCAACTCTTCAGAGGGATTGATAACTACATGGAGAAAATTAAGAAAAAGTGTATCTCTTACTTTTCAGAGGTGTTATACCAGGGTATATGAAAAATGTATGTATATCCTTGGGGCCCCTGGGTAGCTCAGTTGGTTCAGTGTCCAAATCTTGATTTTGGTTCCGGTCATGATCTCAAGGTCATGAGATCGAGCCCCTCAAAGGGCTCCATACTATGCATGGAGCCTGCTTAAGAGTCTCTCTCTCCCTCTCCCTCTGCCCACCCCCAACAGCTCATGCACACTCTCTCTCCCTAAAAAGAAAGAAAGAAAGAAAGAAAGAAAGAAAGAAAGAAAGAAAGAAAGAAAGAAAAAATGTATGTACATCCTCCAAACTCTTTGAAAGACAGGTACACATACATAATTATTTTTGATTCCTCTTTTAAGTTTATTTCACAAGTATAAGTATGTAACATAAAATAATAACATAAGGCAAACTTTAAAGTGACCAGGAAAATGGTCACCTTGTTCAATTGTAAAGCCTTTAACTCCTGATTTATAGGTTTGATGGGAACATGTCTTCTGAGATTTGGACCCCTGGAATTGAGTTATTTCTCTGTTTGATAGTGATTTGAAGTGGAATGCTATATTTGCCTAAAGGATTTATTGTAGCTTGTAAAATAGTAGATGACTATCACATCTGTTTATTTGCAGGTATGTAATAATGTCTGGAAAATACCAGTGGCATCTAATAAAATTGTTAACTCTTCTAAGATGCTGAGTGATACCATCCACATGATAGTGGTGTCTGTGTGAGTTCTTCCTGTCTCAGACTCCTACCCCACTTCCAGCCACCCTCAAGCTGGTGACCAGGGAGGGGGACATGTAGAATATTGTGCTTGTGTGTGATCATGATATATGTCCCCTCCTCGATATCCAGGATCGGGTGTTATGGCCTTTTCAGGTCTTTTCTGCCTGTCATGAAAATTAAGTCAGCAAAATAAAATATATTTCTTCTTGGGTATGGTGAAGGGGCATGGAGGACTCCGGTTAACTTTAACCTTTGGAAGAGAGGCTGCCAATCCATTTACTTGAAAAGGAAGCAAGGGACTCTGGATGCTGCGGACATAGAGCCTCATAGAAGAATTACCGAGTTGTCTTCAATGTAGTTTTTCTGTGATAAATTGGGTATTCTGCCAAGGAAAGAAGCTTATGTTCTAGACAGAAGTATATAATCAAATCATGGCATTATCACCAATTTAGATGCATCAGGGAAAATCTGCATAAGTTTCAAAAAAATTAAAGAAAAAATAAATTGCTTTTAGGCATACACTTAAGGCAGACTGTATCAACCATAGCATGTTCTGAAACAGCTTTAACAAATAGGCAAGTTCATCAGCTTTTATAAATAAGTACCTGGAAATACTTTCTCTTCTGTGGTACTTAGGGGTTTTTCCTCTTATTTCTATTAACTACGAATAAAGAGCTGTAAGATAAAGTAACGCAGAGAAGCTGCTTTTCAAATGTTCACAGATTTAATGTTTCTGAACTTAAAATCAGACATGATCTCCCTGTATTTTTAGTCTTTCCTCTTTTTTAATAGATCACATGTGGAAATCACTAGTTTCGTATGTTTCAAAGCAGGAGGGATGCCCTATGAAGCTACTTTGAGTTGATGGGAAACATTCAAAATAGATGACACCCTCTGAAATATATTGAGTATTCCAGCGGAGTAAACAGCCATGAGTGTTTGATGGTCATGGTGATAAGGATGACAGTGAAGACGATGGTGGTGGTGGTGGTGGTGATATGCCACTGCCTACACAGGTTCTTGGCTGTCAGGGTCTCTCACAGATGTTATCTTTAAATGTCAAATGGCTGCTTAGTGCCAGAAACCCAATTCCTGTCTTAGACCAGAGATGGGTTTGATTAGCACATGCAAAATAAAACTCTTCGCTGTGAAATACAGTGAAAAACACTTCAGCATTTTCCCACATGATAGAAATGGCAGATTCGTGGAAAACATTAATTTATTGCTGTTTATGTAGCCTGTGTTTGAAGGCTCTGGGCTTTTAATCTTTGCTTCTTGGTATTCACAACGAAAGGTTATGTTAGTTTAGTGTAGGTGCCACTGTGTTTCTTCCTGTTATAAAATGTCTTAATCCCAGAAATGTGGCCAAGAACAATAAAAATGATTAAGCAAGGCCTATTCCTATATAGGAACAAACACTTTGAACCTGAGTTCCACAGGAAAGCCTTACAAAGTTTAAAATCTATTTTAAGGTGCTGGAGAGGTTGTGTTGATGAGACCCATGAAGAAAATGTACCTTAGGAAAATAGAACAATCCAAAGCAGCAAAACTCTTGGCTGGAACCACAGAGGTCCTATGAATCTAAGAATAGGGACTTCAGCTTTTGAAAGTTTTTTTCTCAGAGAGGTTCAGGAATAGAAGCTGCCAAAAAATGAAAGTTCTTTACAGCATTTGAGCATAGTGCTTCCAGAACTCTTGGTGAGTGGTTTTACTTTCTGAGGGTGAAACATACAAAACGGGAGCTGGTTTCTTCATATGAAGCCCCTGGGGCACCTGGGTGGCTCAGTCGGTTAAGCATCTGACTCTTGGTTTCGGCTCAGGTCATGATCTCAGGGTCTTGAGATCGAGCTCCTCTTTGGACTCTGCGCTCAGCACGGAGTCTGCTTGTCCCTCTCCTTCTGCTCCTCCCCCTGCACTCTCTCTCTCTCTCTAGAATAGATAAATAAAATCTTAAAAAAAATAAAAAAGGAGCTCCTATCTCTACCGGTCCATTTAGGAGTAGTTTCTGAGGCATTGCCTATAAGGAAAGGGCAGCCTATTGAACAAAATGTTTTCACACCATAAAAGGAATCTGGTTTGGATGCTTCTTCTGAAGCCTGGCATCCTTTTTGGCTGCTAAACAATGTGCAGAAAGAGTCAACTTCCTGATGGCCATGTAACCTGTATCCCCACATT